TAATACGTATACGAAAGAAAGAAAAAGGAAAAAATAAAATAAAAGAAAGAATTCAACAATCATTAATACGAGTGGAAATAAATGGTACATATTTTTAAAAAGATATTATATTTTTTCAATAATCTATTTTTGAATATAAATTTGTAGAAACTTTTTTATATCCGATTAATCTCAATAATACGCAGTATAAGTTTTGTCCCATGCTTTTTTGGATAATAAATATATTTATATATTATTTATAAGAAATATATATATATATATATATATATATGTGTGTGTGTGTGTGTGTGTGTGTGTGTGTGTGTGTATTGACGAGAAGGTTTTATACATGTACAAATGTCATCGATTTTAATAATAACTTTGTATACAATGTGTTATTTAAAAAAAAAAAAAAAGAAAAATTCCAAGTTATAAAAATTTTTCTATTTCGCGATGAGAAGATTGTTAATATAGAAATTTTTATTAACAGAGAAGAAAAGATTAGAAAAAAAAAACCGATTTAAGATATTAACATTTTTTCATAATTTTTACCAAGATAAAAAATCTAAAGATTCGAAAAACATACGAATCGTCGATTTTTTATAACTCATTAAAGAAAAAGAAAAATATAAATAAGCTGATTCAAGATGTTCGAATGAAGAAGAGAAACTTAAAATGTTAAAAAAAACTTTACGAATTTGCAATGTTGGCAATTTTTTATGGAGAAAAGAACAAAAAAAAAAACAAATAAACGAACAATAAAAAAACCCAAGTCAATTCAAAACGTTCAAATTTTTCTTACATTAATTCACACACACACACACGCGCACACACATATATATAAAAGAAAAGAATCGATGATCGACATGTCGACATGATATTATGCACATTTTTGAGAAAGAAAAAAAAGAAAAAGAAAAACAATAACAGTAACAGTATACATCGCAATAAAAAAGAAAAAAGAAAAAGGAGAGATTCGTTGAATAAAACATAACGCAATATATGAATGACATATAAAACAATTTGAAAAACGATTAAATTATGAAAATTCGATTCGAACGATCATCGGAACAATAATAAACGTCAGAGTTTTGTGAAAAGATGACAATGAAGTGGAACGCAAAGTTCAGTTGTAAGGAAAAGAAAGAGATATAAACAGACAAACAAAGACAGACAGACAAAGAGAGAGAGAGAGAGAGGAGGTATCTTTCAACGAAGGGAAAAAAAAGGTGGTATAATTAAATGGCCTACAATTATGCACACCGTAGTCGTTTTCTCGGTGCGACGCATTAACGAGCACAAGTTCCGATTATAAATATTCAACTTGGCTGAGGTTAAGTTGTACTGACCTCTAAGGCTGCCCCAACTTGTCTACTGAGCATTTCAGCTTGCAGTAAAGAAACAACGGAGAGTCCGCTTGCATTGTTGGCTTGTTCCTCGTAACTGGGCCTTCTACAGCTTATTCGATCTCTCTCATTCTGCACGGCTGTTGTATCGGAAACGATGAAAAAAAAAAAAAAAAAAAAAAAAAAAAAAAAAAAAAAAAAAAAAAAAAAAAAAAAAAACGAAATAAAGATATCGATTAATTAAGAAAGAAAATTTCGCGAACTATATTTTTCTTTTTTTTTTTTTTTTGTTTTTGTTATATTTTCTTTCAAACAATTTACCTTCCTTTTTCATGCCGGCCTTGAAGCACTTTCGAAGTCTGCAGTACCTGCATTGATTACGCTTGTCCTTGTCCACAACGCAATTCCTGCTGAATCTGTATCGTGTAGATAAACATAAGATAAGTCAGACGGAGAAACTAATCCTCCTCAACGCGTATTCCTTTACTTTTGATCGAGAAAAAAGAAAGAAAGAAAGGAAGAAAGAATGAAAGAAAGAAAGAAAAAGAAAATAAACAGATATAAACGTTTTCCTTCTATTTTATTTTCTTTCTTTCTTTATTTCATTTTTTCTTTTTTTTTTTTTTTTTTTTTTTTTTTTTTTTTTTTTTTTTTTTTGACTTATAACCTTATGACGTTAATCGGTAACCACTTATCAATTCAATATATATATATATATATATATAAGAGATGTTTACAACATTATTAGAAAGAATAAATAATATTCATTAAATCAAACAAATGAATATTTAATCGGGACGAATCGATAAATTGATTATGACAAAAAAAAAATCTGACAATATGAATGAATGATTTTTAATTATTATGCTTTTATTTTTTCTTCATGTGTTTTTTCTTTTCTTTCATTTTTTTTTTTTTTTTTTTTTTTTTTATTTTATCTAATACGAAAAAAAAAATAAATTAAGTTAAAAACCTGCAAGTATAGAGATGATTTTTCCTAACGGATCTTCTGAAGAAACCTTTGCAACCATCGCAAGAGGCAGCCCCATAATGTTTTCCCGTGGCTCGATCACCGCATATGGCACAGTGCTGAGACAGAACACCGGTCACCCCAGTGCCCGGAAGTCCCAGAACTGAGCCCCCTGCAGCACCGGCGCCCATGCCCAAATCAGTATCTAAAATGACAAAAAGAAAAATTAAATAATGATCAGAAAAATATTGGTTTAGTATGATCTCGTACGTTGTATAAATATTCTTAAAGAAAAATTATAATTAACGTTGGCACATTCTCGTTGACGGTATATACGTTAAGACCGTAAATCGTTTTGGCGTTACAAAAAAAATTATTTCAACGATTAAAATACTTAGGAAAAAAAAAATTTACAAACCAATTATCAATTAATAATTAGTAAATCTAATGATCATATTTAATAATTATATATTTAATAATTATTTAATAATTATTAATAATTAATAATTGTTAAATCTAATGATCATAAATTAATAATGTCTTTTGGAATGAAAAAGAAAAGGATATTTTTAAAAGGTGAAAAGTTTTAATTTATCGTCTTGTATGGTTTTAATTCTTCTAAGAAACTATTAAATGTATAGATGGGAAAATAACTAATGGGAGTAGTTTCTTATCGATCTTTTATTATTTATTGATAAACGTGATTCTACTATGATTTTTGACAAAGAAAGAAGTATTTTAATAATTTAATTTAATATATATATATATTATTATAATTATTATTATTATTTATCCTTTTTTAAGAAAGAATTATATGATATAATATAATTTTAAATTACTCATATATATAATGTATATTGTAAGTTATATATATATATATAAATAATTATTAGAATAGCAGTTATATAGCATATAGTATAACTCGATTATATATAATAGTATAATTTATATTTAACAAATATTAATTTTGGTATATAATATGATTGAAAAATTTATTGCCATAAAATTAATTAATTATATATATACGTGTATATCTAATTTCAAAATTATATGACGTATTATGGTATAAAAATTTATAAAAAGAAAAAAAAAAAAAAGAAAAATAGAAATTGATCTATCAATTTTTCTATTTCTTTCGTCTATACGATATCACACGAGTAAAATAAATTTCTAAAAGAAAAAAATCGATTAATTACAATATATCCATTTTAATTAAAATAACAAATTTTTCACTATTATCATAATCATTTTTTCATAACAAATTATCTATTTACAAATATATTCTGATACAGTTCTAATACAAGAATAAAAATTTCTATTAAAATATTCCACCTTATATAAGACCGTAAATATTATGTTCTAATCATTAATTAATCGAACATCCAAAATCTCATTTCCATGAAACGAGTCTCTCTTATCGATCATAGACATGTAAATAGCGATATATTTCCTTTTATTTCTTTTTTTTATTTTTATTTTAATATCACATAAGACTAGATAACAAAGAGGCCGTGTAACTATATAAATTTCCATGAATGATTCCACACCATGATATTTTTTTTCTTTTTTTTTTTTTTCTTTCTTTCTTTTATTTCTTTCTCTTTAAATTTCTTTTTTATTATTTTATTTTATTTCATTCTTTTTCCTCTTTTATTTCCGCTCCTACTTGTTCTTTTTTTCTTTTGTTCAAAACCAAGAGACAGCGTTCTTGTTGCTGGCGTAGAAGTCGGAGGGTCGCGATAACGCTATCACTGAAGGCTTTTCTTTCCCCCTCTCTCTCTCTCTCTCTCTCTCTCTCTCTCTCTCTCTCTCTTTTTCTCTCCTTCTCTCTCTTCCTCACTCTCTCTCTCTCTCTCTTTCTCTTTCTCTTTCTCTCTCTGTCTCTCTTTTTAAAACTAATTACGCTTCTTCTCGACACGCACTGTTCACGATCAGTGGAGAATTTTGCAACGATAGTGGACGTTCTCTTTCATTGGATTTTTCCAGAAGCTCAAACATAGTCGGATTTTGTAATTGATGAATGTTTCGAAGTAATATTATTTAGTTCGAAAAATTTTGTTAAAAATTATAACGTATGTAACGATTTATTTTTCCTATGATTAAAGTTAATATTAATTAATTATAATAAACGCGTTTTTACGTTTCGTTTTACGATGATCAAAGAAGAAAAAAAGAAAAAATAAGAGATATAGAAAGAGAGAGAGAGAGAGAGAGAGAGAGAGAGAGAGAGAGAGAGAGAGAGAGCAAGAGAAACAGAGAAAAAAAAGGAGAAGAAGAAGAAAAAAAAGAAATGTTTCACTCTCGTTTATTCCCTTTCAAGAGTTTTCCATATCATACGTTTATCTTTTTATCTTTATACGCGAGGGGTCACACTTTGTAGCAACTAACGGGTGAAACAACTTTCTATTCGCTATAAGATTTATGATCTAAAAAATTAAAAAATTTCATTGCACTAACAAAGTTGCGAATAAGTTTAATGATCTCGTACGTTTTCTTTTTTTTTTTTTGTTTTTTCTTCCTTTCTTATTGTTTTAATTCTTTCTTTCTTTCTTTCTCTTTTTTTTTTTTTTTTTTTTTTTTTTTTTTTTTTTTTTTTTTTTTTTTGTTTTATTTTCTTTTCTATTATTATTATTATTTTCTTCTTCTTTTTTCTTCCGCAAAGTTTCCCTATTATAATCCTATAAGCGCTTTCTCGTTTACATTTTTATCGTTTATATTAGAAATCTTGTCGATCTCGTTTTCTCTCTCAGTCAGGTGAAATAACGAAGAGAAAAAGAAAAGAAATATGTGCGACTCATTCGCAAACTCGAATTTGCAAGTTTTAAAGGGAGAAGGAAATTAAAAAAAGAAAAATTAAGAAAATGAATTAAAATAAAATGAAAAAAAAAAAAAGAAAAAAAAGAAAAGGAATAAAAGTATGAAAATAAAGTAGAATAAAATACAAAAGTATAAATAAATAGAAAAATAAAAGAAAAAAGATTCGATAATTATGTTAAATGCAGATCAGCTATTACTTATATGATACGTGCATACGTATATATATATATATATCGTGTATGTATGTGTGTGTGTGTGTATGTTGCGTATGTATGTATCTACGTATGTATACCGGATCTTAGACGTCGAAAGTAATCGTTCTTCTTCTTGATGATAGAAAACGACGAAGTCACTCGTAAATTTCACTTCGTACGAATTGACCATCAAATAACTATTCGTCATTATTATGTAATATCACTGTGATATACACGTTATTATATAAGATCGACGTTAAGGCAAATCATGCCAGCTAATTTTCATCTTCTTTTCTTTTTTCTCTCTTTTTTCTTGTTTTTTTTTTCTCTCTTTTTCCTCTTTCTCCTTTCTTATTCTTCTTTTTCTATTTTTCCCCTTTTTTTCTTATTTTTTTTTTCTTTTTTTTTTTCTTTTTTATTAGGTATTATCGATAATGTAAAAGATTATCAAATTATTAATTACTTATGAAAAAGGTTATGGGACATTGACTTTCTCAGTTTAATATCATTGTGTCATTAATATTATTCGTAATTTAGCTCATCATATTTCATTATGATAATATTAATTGTTGTATATATTTAATGATAATAATATTAATCGTTTCTTCATATTGTTTATAATTTATCTGAAAATAGTTCGTTGTATTGGTTTCTTCTTTCTTCTTTTTTTTTCTTCTTCTTCCTTCTTTCTTCTTTTTTTGTTTTTTTTTGTTTTCTTTTTTTTTTGTTCTTGCTTTCTTTATCCCCGCGACTTATATGCATAAGCATATTATTAGGTAAATTAATTTTATTGTCAAGTTGACATGTATACATTGTTCATACAATTAATTTCATTCAAAAATTGTATCATCAATTAGCTAATAACCGAACATCAACTTAAATTTATTATTATTCAATTACAAATAGCTCATCGCGTTATCTTTTTTTTCCTTCTTTTTTTTTTTTTCTTTTTTTTTTGCCCCTTTTATCAGACAATTATTTTTACGAGCTTACGTATTAATTTTTTTTTTTTTTTGATCGATCATCATGAATACTATTTTGTAATTTAATTGATAATTTATTTTTACAAAATATTTCATAGCGTTATCCTTTTTTTTATTTTTATTTTCTTTTTTTTTACCTTTTTTACTTTTTTTTCTTTTCTCGCGAAACGCATGAGCTCGTTAAGATTGGTTATATTGTTTGCTGATTATCATGAATATTATTGTCCGCGTAATATCTTTTTAGATTATTTCAACAGTAATAACTAATAATAATGATTAACTTGAGTTTATGATTTATTTAAAAAATAGCTTATTAAAAAAAATTTTTTCATTGTATCGATCTTCTCTCTCTTTTGCTTATTCCTTTTTTTTTCTTTCTTTTTTCTTTTTCTCTTAAATACATATACATAAGTATTTTCATTAATGAAATTTCACGAATCGATTTAAGCTCACGAATCAAAATTAATTATTTACTCACTCGGTTTTAATATCTTTCGCTTTATACGATCACAATGTTGGATCTTTGGATCAAGTGGGGTACCTTCAGATATCATTCTTGTCGAATTGGATCACACGAATGTGACCGTTTGTATTATCTTACGGTATATACCATAAATAATATAGTTTGCGCAAGAGAAAGAGAGATAGATAGATAGATAAATCGATGGATAGATAGATAGACAGATAAAAAGATACATGTATGGATAGATAAAAAGAGAAGAGATAATTTTCATGAATCATGAGTCGTGATGAAATGACTAAAAAAAAAGAAAAACAAAGAGAGAGAGAGAGAGAGAGAAAGATAGTAAATTATAAGATAAGAATAAATCGTATGTGATATAAAATGACGAAAGAAAAAGAAAAGGGTAACAAAAAAAGAAAAAGAAACGACGTTCGAACAAAAAAGCTCAATCGGAAAAAGAATTTAGAAGAATCTTAACGAAACAAACATTAATAAGACAAATTTGCCGTGTCCAATGGAACGTTAAAATAAATGACTTATTTGCAATATAAGTGAGGGAGAGTGAATGGGGCTATAGAAAAAACAGTAACAAGAAAAAACAGCTCTCTCTCTCTCTCTCTCTGTCTGTCTGTCTGTCTTTCTGTCTGTCTGTCTGTCTGTCTGTCTGTCTGTTTCTTTCTTGGCTAACGTTCCAGCGTTTGGATAGAAGTCGGTCGAGATATTGCCGGGATTTAGAAGTTCTATATGA